GGTTTGACTTCCTTTCCAGACAACGGAAATCTCCAATAACAGAAGAAAAATAGGTTTATTTCTTGTGTGATATAGGTAGAATAGAAAGAATATTTTACACAAGAGAGCTATGTCCATAAGTCCCAGAAGACATTCTCTTCTCATCCAAGAAGCTTCTCCAGTTCTTCAGAAATAATCTTTGGGACAACCATGACCTAGATCCGTGATGGCGAACCTATGGCACGCGTGCCACAGGTGGCACGCACAGCCATTTGTGCCAGCATGTGAACTGCAGGCAAACTTACCTCACTGTGCATGTGCGTGCCTCACAGCTGATTTTTGGCCGGTTTGAGGCCTTTTTCGGCCTCCCAAAGGGTTGAGGAAGGCTTCTACAGGCTTCTACAAGCTTTCTAGGCCAAAATCGTTTTGTCACTTCTGTGTTGTTGTTTTTTTGTCACTTAACAACTGTGTTACTAACCGAACAACTGCAGTGATTCACTTAACAACTATGGCAGGAAAAGTTGTAAAACAGGGCAAAACTCACTTAACAACTATCTTAATTAGCAGCATAAATTTAGGCCTCAATTCTTGTAAATAGAAGACTACGTATACCTTTCCTGTTAACACAAGGAGGCACAGCTAGAGGAATTGACACTGTGTCCGTGTGGTTTTTTTTTAAACAATTCTCAAAAATACTCTCCAAATCACCTGCTTGTCTATCTTTAGGAAAGTTTTTATGTCTCAGCCTCAGCTTCTATCTGCAATGAAAGGATAAAGTTTATTTGTGCTTAACAGCAGAATACTGAACAATAGACATTTCTATTGTTTTATTTCACCACATAGCTTGATATGAAATTCAAGACACAAATTTTCCGACACTTCATTTGTGTATTAATGTTTGCTTTTTAATTATACATCGTATTTTTTATAAGTACTAACATTTTTCAGTAGTCAGAACATGCCAGAAAGTTTTCCCTCTCAGGTAAACTAGTATTGCACAATTGTCAGTTGAAATGCCATGCTCATTATGCATTTAGATTTCATTAAAATGGAATTCTGTGGTTTGGACTGTAAGCCATGACTACGAAGTAAAATCCTGTTAACTAACCGTGCTAATATGTTATGGTATGTTCCAAAAAAGCAACGGTTGTCACTTCTGGTGACATACATTTTGTACAACCTAACCGGAGGCTTCTGTTTGGGAATAATGGGAGCCAATTTGGTTTAGTGGTTACGGCACTAGACCAAATTAATCAGAAGATCGCGAGTTGTAGTCCCACTTTAGGCATGAAAATCGGCTGGATGGATTTGGGCCACTCCCTTTTTCCTCATCCCAACCTCCTCACATGATTGACGTTGTGGGGAAAATAGGAAAAGGGAGGAGTTTAGGTATCTTCACTGCCTTGAGATATTTATAAAAGTAATAACAGAGGGATATACAATCAATCAATCAATAAATAAATGCATACATACATACATACATACATACACACATACATACCGGGGTGGGAGGTGGAAACAGCTAAACAAATTATGAAAATAAAGTCCAGAGTTCAATTGTGTACAGGTAGTCCTTGACTTACAACCACAATTAAGCCCAAAATTTATGTTGCTAAGTGAGACATTTGTTAAGTGAGTTTTGCCCCATTTTATGACCTTCCTTGCCACATTTGTTAAGTGAATTGCTGCAGTTGTTCAGTTAGTGATGCCGTTCTTAAGTGAGTTTGGCTTCCTCATTAACCTTGTTTGTCAGAAGTCACAAAATATCACATCATCATCCTGGGACACTGCGACTGTCATAAATATGAACCAGTTGCTAAGTGTCTGAATTTTGATCATGTGACCACGGGGATGGTGCAGCGGTCATAAGTGTGAAAAACGGCCATGTCACTTTTTCAGTGCCATTGTAACTTTGAATGGTCACTAAATGAACTGTTATAAGTCGAGGGCTACCTGTATTAGAGATAAATGATTATATTAATCTGCATGCTAAATATCTACAATGGTTGCTGTTGACGTAGATTAAGAACTTCCTTCCATTTTTTTATTCCATTCCAATTATTTAAATATCCATAATTTAAGATTTAGAATTTAATTCAAGATCTCCAATATCACCTGGTTCCAAAGTGCAGATTGTACAATATCTCCAAATGGCTTTTTGAGAGATGCTGCCTACAGAAGGGAAGGTGGTATAATGGACTACAGCAGGGGTGTCCAACCTTGGCAACTTTAAGACTTGTGGACTTCAACTCCCAGAATTCCTCAGCCAGCAAAGCTGGATGAGGAATTCTGGGAATTGAAGTCCACAAGTCTTAAAGTTGCCAAGGTTGGTCACCCCTGGACTACAGTGAAATAACAGAGGTAAACATCAAGGCAGAACTACCCTCTTTCTAGTATATCTACAGCAGAGTACTATAGATAATATGTTGGCCTCCAGTGAGAGATCATGCCTAAATAAGCAGGAATAAGACATTATAACAAGTTGGGAGAGAAGGTGATGTAAAGCCTTACTGGCAAAGTCCTCTTCCCAAGATTCTCTAGTAGAAGATACGGACAACTGGCTGAACTTCTTGGCTTAATTTAGACTATCTAATTGGGGACTTACTAGCTAGGACTTCTCCATTCTATCTAACTGACGACTTACTACAAGGACTTCTCCATTCATCCCAGCAATAGGAAAAGAGAGCAGAAGTTGCTTTAGATTTTCCCCTTCAAAGTCTAGAAATATAGCACCAAATAGATCTCTGCCAATCCTGAACAATGCATAATGCACAACGAACGTTTTAATGAGAATTATCCTTTCGAAAGAAATCTTTAGATATTTGGAAGAAAGAAATGTATGATTGGAAAAAGGGGAAATACAGGAAAACCAAAGAAAGGCAACTGTTGAGTACCTACTATTCTAAATAAAATCAATTCTGTCAGCCTGGCTAAATTAGTTACAGTTCTGCCTTCTTGAATAAGATCTTAGATGTCAGTACATATTTGAGGCTCAAAACAGTATGGTAAGAGATAAATCACCATCTAAGCCTTCTGTTTAGGTATTTTTAGGCTAGGCCCTTTCCTCCTTTTTTGGAAGATAATTGAAAGGTTAAAGAAACATAATTGAAGGCTTGGAAAATGAACTGTTACTTTATCCAGTCAAGCAAAATGCTTCATTGCCGATGTCCTTGGTCCAGTCAGCAAATTATAAATTATATTGTAACTGAACTCACCTTCCTATAAATCTTGGTGGAGAGAGAAATGATACAGGCATAAATAACCTTTTTTAGCAATTTTATCAAGGACTTTATGGGAAAACTTCATTTAGTTTTACCTTAGCATGAGGTGATATTATAAGATAGTGTACATTGTGGGGAAACATTATTCGCTATCAAAAATTGGGAGTTTGTCACACATAACAGTAACAATTGCAATACAAGGTTGACTGAACTGGTTGCTATTCATTATCTGTTCATCAAACATGATGGTGTCCTAGCTGCTCATCCTAGCTGGATTAATCATTGATTCATACATTCTCACTAACAAGGTTGGGTTTAGCAACGTGCTATGTGGACAGACTCACTCCAACAAAACCCATCCTAATCTTTTCGACTGGTTTCCTGTGATCTGTTAAGAATAAAGATGAAGAATCACCTGTGCCCTGTTAATTGGAGTTCCCCAGTTATTTGGGGGGATTTTAGCCACTATGCCCTCAGGTCAGTGGCGGGAAAGATTTAGGAATTCATGGACACCATGGCAACCATGGGTTTGCCACCATGTATGATCACATAGGTGGACATACGTAAAACCTCATTTTTACTTGTGTGATCTGAAAATGAAGGATTTTGCTTTGAGCTCTTTGGCATGGTCAGATCACTTCCTGGTCCAGATGAAATGTGTTGTCACCCTGGTCCTCCTCAGAGTGGGAGGATTAATCAGGATGATCCAGTTGGGTGCTTATGAATCCACATGGATTCTAGCAAATTCTTGGGAATTTTCCTAGCATTTTGACTTGCAATTATGTCAGGCATTTGTTGAAGAGTTAGAACTGGTCAAGATTTCTCTCAAGCACTACTTCAGGTTGCCTGGGTTGGTGTGTGTGAGTGGCTGACTCACAGTTGATAACTGCACTCAAAATTGTCAGTTTTCTCATGTTGAGTATTAACTTTACTATTTATATTAATACTGACATGCTTCAGTTAAATGGTCTATTTTAATGAACCAGGTTTTGGTCAGCTGATTGTTGAGAAATGAGAAGGTGGGTATGAAGGTGGATCATCTCAATGGACCACCTAGTTCTAGTTCTGTCCTAGGTTTGAAGCCAGCTAGTGACTTTGGACCAATCAACCCGTTTCACCTCTAGGAGGAAAGTAATGTCAAACTACTTCTAAAATGTCATCAAGTAAACAGCATGGAGTTGTTCATATGGTTAAAACTGACTTGATGGTGACACATGCATGCACAAGCACACATACACACATCCATACCCATGCACCAAAGATACACAAAAGTAAATAAGGCACCCAAAAAAGAATGAGAACTATTTTGAATATTTTAAAATAAAAATGAGTTTCTAAATTTGAGTTACCTTTGGAGATTGGGGTAATGTGGATTTTCATGCTCCCACCATATCTTGGTTGGGGTCTAAATACTGTTTTACACAAAATCTTTCTTTTCTTGTTCTGTTTTTAAAAGATTATAGTGTGATCCAACCACATTGTGCGTATATGGATATTTGCACATTGCATTACATTTATCTTTTCAAAAACTGCACTAAAGCAATGCTTATTCTCAAATGAGATGTATAGCTTTATTCTGAGAGACTCCTAAAGTAGACTATTAAGTGCCAAGTGTAAAATGACTTAAAGACATAATTTAAAATACTGAAACAGATTCAAGCTTTTTCAGTGGGCTTGGAAATGTAAGCCCATTTCCTTTATTTCCTTTCAATTAATTACATTGTACACTACAGCTGTTACAGTGATGTGTACCAACCTTTGGTCCTAAAACTTCAGCAGTTGGTATCTTCTGCTTTCCAGCATGGGCGGACACCCCTCCATCTTGCAGCTTACAAAGGTCATCTCCATGTGGTCCAGATTCTGCTCAAAGCAAGCTGTGACGTGGATCTTCAGGATGATGTGAGTACTCACGACCATTCTGGCAGGGAGCTTTTCACGTTTGTAATCTTAAGAATCAGCTACATGTGGCCCACTGTGGAAACTATGGTTGCTTTAAAAAAATACATTTTAAAAAAATTGATTCCAATCCTGTCTGGGTCAACCTGCAAGAGGCATTTGCAAGTCTGATGACAGATGAATTAGGCATTATTTTCAAAAGTCTAAATGAATGTTTCCCAGATACTTTTAAAAGGTGATTGCAGGAAGAAATGAATATAGGTAAATTAAGGACTAGTTATAATCTGTTGGAAGCATGTTAGACATTAAAAAATACATTTGCCCTTTTATCAAGGACATTGGAAAGGGCTGATTTATTTTTCCCTGAGAAATATTTTGAAGAGGCCAAAATGCCAATTAATGTTTTCACTGCAGTTCTGTTTGGCTGGCTTAGAGCGGTCAATGTCTACACCTCTGGCAGTTGCATTAAAAGGGTGAAACATAGTCCAAGAAGGTTTGAATTTATAGAAATGCATTAGTGCATATCATTAGTGCATAAAACTAAGAAAATTTGGGCAAGAGGGTTTATGATTGATCGGTTGCAGTCCTTGTCAATTAAACTTGGCCATTTTCAACCTTTACAAAAACAATGAGGGCATATATACAAAAATGGCAGTTTTGTTACTGCCCATGGTATTTACAGAATCTTGATTATTATTATTAAATCTGGGCAGCATTTCTCCCAGCAATGTTGTTGAGCTTTGATCAAAAGTTAATAATTGAAGATACTCAAGTAATCTTAAGTTGAAAATGACTATTATTAAATAATGACATTCTCGTTTTCTGTAACACCCCAATTCTTTGTCTACTTCTTTTGATAAAGTATAGTTTTGCACAAATGCCCATGTTCTTTTAGATCAAGACCTTGTAGACCAAGATATATACACTGCTCAAAAAAATAAAGGGAACACAAAAATAAGACATCCTCGATCTGAATGAATGAAATATTCTTATTAAATACTTTGTTCATTACATAGTTGAATGTGCTGACAACAAACTCACACAAAAATTATCAATAGAAATCAAATTTAGCAGACTTCTGGTTTGAACTTCTTCAGTGACAGACCCAAACCTCGTCTCTGGGAGGCTTCGATCCATGCTCGCCGCTGGAGCGCCCTGAGCCGGCTGGTTTCAGGGCTAAGCTACCTTATAGAGGTGGTGAAGAGGGTAGGATCTGGAAGGGAGCAGACTGCCTGGAATTAAAAAAGAACTTACAGCAAAATCTTAAGAAGACTTCCAAAAGATAAATTCTAACTGAAATATCACAACAAAAACCCCAGGAAGAGAAAGTCAAAAAAGAAATAAGAAGATATAACTTGGGACTATCTGGATTACTTGATGATTTCTGGATTCTTGGTTATTGTTTTGAATGACTAAAATCAATCGGGTGGTTGTTTAAAACTGTTTAAAATGGCTCCACTTTTAGAAGAACTGAAAATGGAACTTTAAAAGTACAAAGAAGATGCACAAGAAGGGAGAGGTTCTTTTGGCTTCGTATTTCAGTTTTTAGAAATGGAGATTTGGAATTATGAGAAACAACAAGAAATGCCTGCAGAACAAGAAGATTGCGACAAAGAAGAAGCCATCTTTAATGAACAAGTAATCTTAGATGGGGGAAAAAAGGAAAGGGGGGAAAGAGAATGGAAAGTTTAAGATTGGGAAAAACAACTCCCCCCCACAAAATAGAGTGAAAAATAAGTATAAAATGAGAAAGCAACAGAAGAGGGAAATGCAGAAGAGAGAATTAGAAATAGAGAGACAAGGGGGTAAAAAGGGGAGGGAGAAGATGAGAGGGCAGAAAGAAAGGAAAAGAAGTTATAAAAAGGACAGAAGCAAAATATAGAGAAACCGAGCCTATTTAGAGATAATGGGTGAAAACTTAATGGAAAAAGGAATTCTGCAAAGGTACATAAGATAGTATGGTTATATTAGAAACAGAAATAATTTTAGAAAATATGAAACAATCTATGATTAAAATGTCTGATAAAATAGCTATCATAATTCAGTGGAATGCTTGTCAATAAATAAATGTAACAAAAGGTATATTTAATGATTTATAAAACATATGTGAAGAGAAATAAGGGAAAAATTAATTATGGAGATTATATGTGTTTTTAAGGAAGTATGATATTTAATTGAAAAGAAGTGTTAAAGATGTTATGGTTTTAATGATTATTAATGATAGAACTGAACTGGAATGGAATGAGGGTTTATAATTACATATATTTATAATCTTTCTTTTTTTTAAAAAAAAGAATATAGTGTGTATTATAAGAATGCCAAGCAGAATTCGATTGGAAGTTATGTATTATGTATTATATTGAAGGTCATAAATTTAAGGTATATATTGAAGTTTAAATAAGAGTTGAATGGATGTAATTAAAAGATATAAAGGTGTCATACTCCAATTAGTAACTACAGGAGAAAACTTGTTTAATGAGAAAAGATAATATGAAATTGAAACAGAACAGACAAAAGTATAAATATAATGATTTGAATTGAGATGAGATAATCAAATTAAAAGAGGGGGGAAAACTATATAGAAAATGTAAAATAGTATAAGATATGGAATAGAATACAAAAAGGAGCATGAAATTGAGTTTTGTGTCTGTATAAAGAAGTTCAACCTGGGACCATGGTATTTTAAAAAAAGATGTTTTACTTGTATTTTGTGTGTGAAAACCCAAATAAACTTTATTAAAAAAAGAAAAAGAAATCAAATTTAGCAACCCATGGAGGTCTGGATTTGGAGTTACACTCAAAATTAAAGTGGGAAGAAACACTACAGGCTGATCCAACTTTGATGTAATGTCCTTAAAACAAATCAAAATGAGGCTCAGTAGTGTGTGTGGCCTCCATGTGCCTGTATTACCTCCCTACAACACCTGGGCATGCTCCTGATGAGGTGGCAGATGGTCTCCTGAGGGAGCTCCTCCCACACCTGGACTAAAGCATCCTCCAACTCCTCGACAGTCTGTGGTGCAACGTGGCATTGGTGGATGGACGGAGACATGATGTCCCAGATGTGTTCAATTGGATTCAGGTCTGGGGAACAGGCGGGCCAGTCCATAACATCAATGCCTTCATCTTGCAGGAACTGCTGACACACTCCAGCCGCATGAGGTCTAGCATTGTCTTGCATTAGGAGGAACTCAGGGCGAACCGCACCAGCATATGGTCTCACAAGGGGCCTGAGGATCTCATCTCGGTACCTAATGGCAGTCAGGCTACCTCTGGTGAGCACATGGAGGGCTGTGCGGCCCCCTAAAGAAATGTCACCCCACATCATTACTGACCCACTGCCAAACCGGTCATGCTGGAGGATGTTGCAGGCAGCAGAACGTTCTCCACGGCGTCTCCAAATCTTGTCACGTCTGTCACATGTGCTCAGTGTGAACCTGCTTTCATCTGTGAAGAGCACAGGGCGCCAGTGGTGAATTTGCCAATCTTGGTGTTCTCTGACAAATGCCAAATGTCCTGCACGGTGTTGGGCTCTAAGCACAACCCCCACCTATGGACGGCGGGCCCTCATATCACCCTCATGGAGTCTGTTTCTGACTGTTTGAGCAGCCACATGCACATTTGTGGCCTGCTGGAGGTCATTTTGCAGGGCTCTGGCAGTGCTCCTCCTGTCCCTCCTTGCACAAAGGGGAAGGTAGCGGTCCTGATGCTGGGTTGTTGCCCTCCTATGGCCTCCTCCATGTCTCCTGATGTACTGGCCTGTCTCCTGGTAGTGCCTCCATGCTCTGGACACTACGCTGACAGGCACAGCAAACCTTCTTGCCACAACTCACATTGATGTGCCATCCTGGATGAGCTGCACTACCTGAGCCACTTGTGTGGGTTGTAGACTCCGTCTCATGCCACCACTAGAGTGACAGCACCGCCAGCATTCAAAAGTGACCAAACCGTCAGCCAGAAAGCATAGGAACTGAGAAGTGGTCTGTGGTCACCACCTGCAGAACCACTCCTTTATTGGGGATGTCTTGCTGACTGCCTATGCTTTCCACCTGTTGTCTATTCCATTTGCACAAGAGCATGTGAAATTGATTGTCAATCAGTGTTGCTACCTAAGTGGACAGTTTGATTTCACAGAAGTGTGATTGACTTGGAGTTACATTGTGTTGTTTAAGTGTTCCCTGTATTTTTTTGAGGCAGTGTATATGTACCTATACCTATACCTACCTATCTCTATCTCTCTATCTCTCTATCTCTCTATCTATCTATCTATCTATCTATCTATCTATCTATCTATCTATCTATCTAAACCTTGTGAAAGGTATTTGGATTCTCTTTCATTAATTGTATTTTCTACCTTACAGTTTCTTTAAAGAGCTTATGCTGATGAACATGTTTTTCCTCCCTCAAATTTATCCTTATAGCAATCCTATGGGATAGTAAAACCGAGTGGGACTTAACATGCCGAAGACATACAAATTGAGTGAGGACTGTCATGGCTCTGCAATGCTAGTCCCACATTTGTCCATAAGTATGATTAATAATGTAGCCTTGCAGCAACCAAGATACCTAACACTTCAAACTTTGAAGAGGCTGTCTTTTATTTTAATTCCCCTCCTCCCCCACTGAGCCATGGAAGTAATTATTTTACTTGTAAATTTCGAACTATAAAGCATTTATTTATTATCCAGTATATACAGTATATTATCTCAAGCTACCGATCTCAACAAGTAACAAATCATCATGACCAGTATCCTCATAATTACAGTGTCCTCTGCCAAATGATATAAAGAAAGTTGTTAAATATGGTGGAATATTTTAAATGCTGACTTCATGTTCTACAGATATTGATCGTTAACATATTGTTAAAGACCTAATCATTAATTGAAGAATGACCTCCAGTGACCTTGAATGGGATTATTATGAATTTCAGCCTGTGGAAACCAGTTCTCTAGACTATGAAACCCCAAGAAGTAATTCTTTCCTTCTCCCTGCTAATCCCGCAA